TCCTTTCATGTATTATGTACTAGATGAATGCAACATTCAGGCTCAGCTGGGTAACAAAGAGGAAGACATTCAAAACTGACCATAAGGTAAATTGTAGAAAGCAGAGTTTATATGACAATAAACATGCAGCTCGCAAAAGAATGAAGATAGTGTACTGGTATTAAAACACATTTTCATATAGACAGCTTATGCAGCAATATACAAGTTTAACATCTGGCTGGAGTATGCAAGCCCTTTAAAGCTGGCATTCAAATTACCAGTAGCTTCATCAGCCATACTTAGGTTAAGTATATAGTAAAATTTCACTTAATGTTTACATTCACTAGCCATCCAATCCAGCATCAAGGCACTTTCCTTGTTAGTATGTCTGTCCCTCTGTCTCACGCCTCCGCTTACCTAGATGCATATATCAGCACAGCAACATTCGGTGACCAGTAACCTTGACCACAGACTTCTTAACCCCAAATAAAAGCATGTGGTTACTAGATAGTCCATCGCTGTATCAAAGTGTCAGGCTATATGCGACACTGTAAACAAGACTGGTGTATTACAAAAACACGGCGAGTTGATTGGATCCATTAACGAATGTGCTTCGGTATGAAGAAAAGCGGTAGGTGTTACCAGTTTCAACACTGCAGAGAATGCTCCTCTACCACGCCTGCCATCGCCAGAGGAGAGCAGCCGGTGCAGGGCGCAGAAGATGCTTCAGTCTGAGCAGGAGGACGTGGAGCTTTCCAGCCGTCTGTCGACAGTTGTGCCATACGTGTTTTTCATCTATTGTTACAGAAGTGTGCTTCTGCAGAGTATCAATGACTTTATTGCATATATCCCCATCAAAGTTGTCTTTGCAAATAAACACAAGTACTGGCTAAGGCTGCATTCTGGGAGGTACCTACTGCCCACCCTCTCTCTGCACTAAAATTAAGAGGCGGGGGGAGTGGACAATTGCTGAGATCTGGCCCTTAGTCATCGATTTTAAAGTTGTTTATATCAAATCTTGCGGCCTTAAAAATGCATCCTTGTGCACTAAGTCAGCACTGATTTCGTTTTTAGGAATGGCTCAGATTGCACAAGTACTACAAAGGAAACAAGAGTGAAAGCACACACACACACACATGCGTTTTAGCTGCTTTTTTTTTTTTCCCCCCCAACTGATCCTTTCACTTCTAAGAAAGAGAAATGGGAATTTGAGAGTCGAACGCAGGATACTTAATTTTACCCTTCTCCAGACTTTTGCACTTATACCTCCACTTTACTGCAGTTTTCTGGATCAGGAGCTAAGCTGAAGACTGTGGGGTTGGCTGCAATTCCCAAATGTCTGTTTCATGAGAAAAGACCCAACATTTTTGTTATAAACTGCTTCCAAGTAACATTAAAATCAACTTCTGGAATTTAAAATGGCTGTGTATCCATCATAGCGAAGAGACAAGAGGTTACAGGAGATTAATGAAGTTTTACAATCCATCAGTCAGGAGAACTTTTTAACATAGTTAAAGGAATGTATCCAAATAACAGTCAATCTCAATTACAACAACTGTCTCAGGGAAAATACACTAGTACACTTAGTCCCATTTAATGCACATAAATTACAATTTAAAAAGTGTATGTCCTGGAGCGGGGCTGACTATTAAAAATTCAAAGAGTCTTTGGAGTTTCAGATCCCACTGCAAAGCCCATACCATAGCAACACATATTGATGTGGGTCTTGGATATTCAAGACCTGGCACTAATTAAACAAGTTCAATTGCTGAAGTTAAATCAGCATGGTGATTCCCACATACTGGGCACACTAATGTAAGTTTTAACCATCTGGCAGTGCTCATGGTTTACAGTCAAAGCTGAAGCTTCAAACCCCACCCCAGGCCATGGGGCTTCTCCACTCAGCCCTCACATGCAAAACCTCCTCCTCCTCCCAGGGACAAAGTTTTTTCCAGTCCTGATTATTAGCATTTTGCTAGGATGCTGTAGCACAGATAGGCACATGCTTGTCACAAACACTCCAGAATGAAGTTTAGAAAAATTTTTGCTCTGCTGTGCTTTGCACTGCCAGGGTAAGGCTTAACAGGCAGTTCAGTTTAGTTTACTACAGTAGGGCATATGAAACAATCCCAAGACTTTCACTATGGTGGGAGAGGATATTCACAGACTAACTGCCCTGAAAGCGAGCCAACACACCCCAGAAACAACCCCAACAACCTCCTGTTCTAACAGAACCTCCACAACAGAACTACACAGATAAATATATTCACTTTTCTTGTAAACAGGAGAGCAGTTAGCCATCCTGAGCTTAAGAGATGTTTCAAACATCCTAACAGGAAAAATACTTTATATTTCTACTAGCCTCCCTTCCCTTCCACCAAAGTAACAAGGTCTTTACAACTATTCTCCCACCCCTACCTGAAAAATTCCAGTCCAGGAAATCAAGATGGACATGACAGTGTCAATACTGAAGTGTGATTTTATTTTCATAATGCTTTTATTTTGTAAAGTGCACCATAGTTATTGGGGGGGAAAGCCTTTTCTTTAATTACTATGTTAGGGCCACGTTCAGAGAACTTCAATGGATTGCTATAATTACACTACAGACACTCTAAAAACCTGTATGCAACTGTTGGATACAATTAGGTTGTTACGATCCAAAGTACAAAATAAAGTTAAACTCTGAACACTGCATGATATAATGTTTGGCACATAGGTTTATGGACAAGCTGTAAACCTGTTATTTATATGTACTGTGGCTTCTACAAGCTGTTCACCCATCAGTATCTCCTGCTTAGTCTTTAGTATTTTAGCCCTAGATAAATGCACAAGCCTGAAAGATAGAATATAATTCTGCCAGACAGACAGAATTCTCTCTAGGATACACTCTTGTACAATTCTGTGAGTTTATTACCACTGGCCCATAAACAACAAAGAAAGAAAGATACCAGAAGTGACAGGCCAGAACTCTGGTTAGCACAGACCTTTAAAAACGAGAATCTCTTGATGCTGTTTGGTTAATGTTGGAAATGGTCCATGATTAACAGCAACTGAGAACAAAGTGCCTTCCCTTTACACAACAGAAAGGCAAATAGCAACTTCAGGAATAACTGAAGTTGTCCCTCAAATATGACATATGCTATCAAAAGTTAGTAGCACAGGATCGCAAAAAAACAATTAAAAAAAAAAAAAAGGAAAGAAATCATCAGCATACTTTTGAAAACATCCAGGCCTCTGAAGCAATGTTCAGACTAAGTAGCCAGGTTGTGGCCCACAATATTTCAGAGATGAGCAGGAGGTGGATTAAATGCATGTGGCTGCAGGGCAATTCTAATAAGCACGCACACTGCTCAACAGAGACTTTCCCTTTTACTTGTGGTTTCTACAGTCACTATGAAGTTTGCATAGAGAAGACGACCCATCCCCAGTAAAGTAACTGCTATTATTTTCCAAGAGGAATATGTTCTGACAAAGGAATGCTCCGTCAACCTCTGAAAAAACAAAAGACTGTCTCTGCTGTCTCGCAACAGCATAGTTTTCATTATGTCCTTGCCCTCTAGGAGGGACTCTGAAGGTGCTGAGGTGGAATGGGGAGAAAAGGAAGGGGACTCGTTTGAAGGAAGGTGTAGTTACAGTAAGCTGCAACATAGCCTTTTAGTTTAAAAAAGTGCCTAGATACAAAAAATACTGTTGGGAGAAAGGAACTGTGGAATACTGAAATGCTATTAAAGATTCTGCATTCTTTATCTGCTTTAAATAGTCCAGACTTCAAGAGGTAATCTTATGAATTTCTTTGTAACAAAACCAGAAGACGCATGTGAACATTTACATATATACCTGTCCTTCCATGCAAGCCAGCAGACAAGGAAAGTTGAAATGATGTTGACACCTGCCTTTCCAGGACCTTTAGCAAGTGCTTTGCAGAACAGCAGCACCAGAGGTCAGAGCACAAAAGGTTTCATATGGTCTCAAATACCTAGTTCTTTTGCTGAAGGAGAAATAAAACCCTTGTTTTATTCTCACAACGCAGCATTTAGTGTTTTGAATTAAGGCTTTATTAGTGTCAGATTAGAAAGCTGACTAGATTAAGTCAGGTTAAAAAAAAAAAAACAACAACCAAACCTACAAGAGTGCCATAAAATTTCTAGTTATCACTGGAGAAGGGGTTTGTTTTAATGCAATTTCTTTTTTCTTTAAACCCTGGTAGAGACAGTCTCCAAGAAATGTATCTTCTTCAATAAAATGCATGAACAGGGGAAAAGTGAGACATAAGAAAAAAGTAAGGAATCTTAACAACCACTTAAGTGCTATTTGTGGCTCATGATTGCTAATAGATACATACATACTACCAGTAATGTTCAAATTCAGGGTATAGGTTTTGTTTTTTCTTCTGAGAGCTTCAATGACTTCAGTGCTTTGTTTTTTTGCTGCTTTCAGTTTCAAGGAGGTCCCACAGCATTAGCAGTGAGGTTACAGCACACTAATCATTGTAGTCAGTCAGGAAGACAGTCATATCCCCTTTCTCCTGAGCAGTCAGAAAAATGGTAAAAACTTACAGCTTGTTACTTGCCTCTCAAGCTGTATACAGCAAAGGTGCACTTATTAAACAAAGACAATTTATACGACCAGACAGGTATGGTATAAATAACTGTTAATCTGTGTTTTCATCTGGATTTTTAAACTTTTGAACATGACACTGAATTGCTGTGCGTCAAGTTGCAAGGCACATTTTTAGGCCAAATTATTATATAGTTCATATGCACACAAGGCAGAATATCAATTACTATAGTAGCATTCAGAGTCAAGCAATCATGGTGTTTTCTTATTTGCACACCATAGCAAGTTCTATTTAATTTTTACAATTTTTAAATGGGGCTGAACATGATTTGCATGTCTGGTAAGCTGGAAACTGAGACACGGGCCAAGTCAAAATTCAGAAAGTCAGTCAAGCTACCAAAAGATATATGACACGTATTCTTCCACATTAGAATACTAAGCTTCAGTCTTACTTTCACACAAAGATGCTCCAAGCAACTAAAGCTGGCTTTTTAGGCTTGTACACTGTCACGAGTCGAAGTATTTCTTCTAGGAGGTCTATTGGCTGATGAGATTAATTGAAACTTGCCATTTTCAATCATGTGTAAATCTGATATGACAAGACACAAAAAAACCAAGGTAGCACAAAGGCTTGTTCAGCTATCCAGACATCGGATTTTATGTAGTGCATAAAAGTAAGTCTCCAGTAGGTCTGGACTGCAAATTTTCCACAAAAACACAGTCCTTATTGTACTTTGTCAAATTACTCTTCACTTAATTTCAGTATTTCTATCTGCATTCAGATAAAAATACCTAGCTTAATTTATCAGAAACACAGGAGAAAGTGTGAACAGGCACTAATGAAGGCCTAAACAGAGCCAGTCTCTTCTCTCACTGAGGCACATAGCCCCCTTGTCTCACAGTCTGCGGGAGGTAACTTTTTGGCATTTCATCAACTGATGGTGGATTTCCTTCTACTGCTTCGGGTCTCACAGTTTGTCCTTCAGTACTTGTCTGTAAAACATCTGGTAGAGCAGCTTCCTGGGTATTTTTTTCCAGCCCAAGGCCCAACAGCTGTGAACTCTGACCTGAGATCTGCAGTTGTGCAAATCCAACAAGATCCCCCTCATTAGCAGAAGTAATTTGCTTTGCTCTTTCAAAGCATGGCCTGTCTGCGTTGGTTTCATCCTGACCACCATTTTGTTTGAAATACTGCTGCCTCTGTGTTGTACTGTCACATCCTCCAGCATGATCCTCTGATCTCTCTTCTGAATCTAGCAGTGGCTGAGTCGACTCAGACCTTGAAAAGACTTGTACAGGTGTTTGGTCTCTGTAGCCATTAAGTACTACAGTTGAATACTGTACAGTGCTCGAAGTGTTTTGTGTAGTTTCACCTTCATCACTGTCAGAAACACTTTGCCTAGGAGAAGACATGCATGAGGATCCTCCAATACCACTGCTGTGCCCTTCTGAAGTACTCTTTTCCTTTTTAAGCAAGTCAAAGGGTTTTAGATCTTGTTCTGAAAAAGACTTCTTGTCATCAGCTTCTATTTCTACGACGCTTACATCTGTAAAGCTGCCTTCTGGGTACATCTGATCTTTGGAACTAAAGTTATGCTGAAAGAAAGAGATGGATGTTGCCTAAGAGGAAGGTTATGCTAAAAATCAAAAAACCCATTAAATATCTGAATTTTTATTCTGTAGTTGTTTTGAGTTTCTTCATGTAAGTTTTGTCCTTACTAAGTTAGGCGGTATCTGCAAAGTATGTGTTACAAAATGAAGGATGTAGCTTTGTTCCCAATACAAAGTCTTAATTATGCAGCTATTCTAAAACCATAGTGGGTGTGTAAGCTTTGCTCAAATTCTAATTACTCTTAAGAGCTGTAAACATAGAACCATTTGCTGTGCAGCACAGGTACATTCTATATTGAGGCCATACATACATTACTTCCAATAATGTATTCAACACCACAACACTTCTCCATAGAAGTTAGCCACAGTTTATCAAGCAGCATTTGCTATGTCATTCACCCCACATGGGGCACAAATTTTCCTGCCATCTCCTCATCCATGAGAAACTCTTAGAGCTTTCTCTCTCATTCATGATGTAACTGTGCAAATAAGTTTTTTTCTTCAGGGTTTTAAGAATGGGAACCATGAATTCTGTTTACTTAATCCTGATTTCCCATGAATGAGTAAAATAATTAGGACTTAACCCTTCCAACTAGTAAACTGAATATAATTCACAATGTGAAAGCCTGCTTTATCCTGTGAACTTGTGCTAAGGCCATGTAGTTCTAATGCTGAATCTACTGATGCAATAAAGTCTTCTAACCATGTCATATCACAATGTCATGAAACTTAACATCCTTTTTTTTTTTCCTTGAAACCCGTGTGTGCTAGAAGACAGAAGACTCTCACTGGTTTGTTTATTTGAAACCTTGTGGACTAGGAAGATACAGGATGCAGAAAGATGAGTATTACCTTAGCTGGAACTTGAGGAGACCACTGAGCAATGTTACTCTTGGATGGATCAGGGACAATAGGCCAGATATGCTTTTTAATTCTGTAAAGCATTAAAAACAGAATAAAATTACAAGATGCACACCCCAAATTCCTATGTTGACAGTAAGTACTGCATAATCCAGGACACCACTCCCTTACACAGCAATTTTGCAAGAGTATTTATTTCCAGGTAGAAATGCTTCCTGCACTTCTTTACATCTCTGTAGGAAACTGTACTGCTTAGCAAAACACAGCACTGCACTTATCACTCCTCCACATATTAGATGTAGCCATCCAACATAAGGCAAACCAACAACTGGTAAGGTTAGTGAGGGATTTTCAAATTTGTAGCACTCTATAATCTACAGAACAATTATTTAGGTAAAGTCTATGATGCATGTCAGTATAAAAATACACTGTTGCTTCTTTAAGATAACTATGAATATCACAGCTGTCAAAATCTAAGCCAACTTCACAGCTAAAAATAAAGTGAAAATATTTAAAGAAAAACTTGGTCTTTTGTAACTGAACTCTAAAGTTTAAGAACGTAATAACTGTTACTTAACAATAGAAGTTTCTGTAGATAAATCACCCCCAACAAAACTAATTTTGAAACTGATGCATCTATCCTGCTCTTTATAAGCAGGTTCCAGCAACAGATCCACTGTAGAACTCTGAAGAACACTGCAAGATGGGCTTTTCAACCAACATCCATTAAGAACTGATTTTAGGAGCAGCAGGGAGGTCAGAAGGAAAAGGGCAGAAAATGCTGTCTTTAATTAGAAAGAAAAGATAGTTGACTGGGGACATGGGAGAAGTGCTACTCCTTACCAGGGAAAACACTTCAGCAATAAGCTCTCAGCTAAAGCCACAGACAAGAGCTCTGGGGTTGAGGGAGGAGGAGGCAGGATGTTTCCCAGCAGATAGTAAATAGGCACAGAGTTTCACTGAGGTTGTGCAAGATAGATAAGTAAGATGTCTCCCTAATATTTTTGGCTGTAAAGCTTGATGTTTGCAAACACTGTAATTAAATAGCTCAAATACAGCCAGCAAACAGATCTTCTGTGCTTCACAAACTAGGGACCACCATTCCACTCTCATACAATGACTAAGAAAACGACACAGGCAGGATATCCTGATCAAACCCTAACAAACCTAATCCTGACCAACTCTTAGCAAGAAAAGCAGGAACTTCCTTGCAGGATTGAGTCATGGAACATTTAGTTTGTGTGGTAATTGTTAACAGTAAGAAACTAGTATCAGAAGAGGCCCTAATTTCTCAAGGAAAACACAAAAATGTTTATCACCAATCAATGTATGTGTGTTTTACCTTCTTTTTGTGATCTAGCTGCAGAGTATTTACTTGTTTGTACTGAATTATTGCCAGCTTGCTATTATGCCCAGAAATATCAGAAGTGTAACGGAAAGACTTCATTTATACTCACAAGTCACGTTTGTTGAAGCAAAACAGAACTCCAAGGAGCACAATCAACAGGAACGCTAGACACACAGGTACAACTATGGCTTCAATTTCTCCTTTCCCTGAAGAAAATTAAGAGAAGCAGTTATAGCCCACTTTGGCATTTAAGGCACTCATCAGCAGCATACATTCCCAAAGGGACGGGGAGAATCTGAAACTGAATACACCCGCAGTGCTCAGTCTTAAGCTTCACCTTCAGTAGAACCTTGTCACCACATGAAAAGAGCCTGTTGGTGAAAACATGAAAAGCTCTGTCCCAACAATCTAATGCTTTGCATCAACAAAAAATACAGGTTGCTCTAGAAGCTGTAATACTGACAGAGCAAGTAATTTTACAGCTTGGGCAGACAGGACAGTAACATCTATGTGAATTCATCTGTGGTCCAGGTGTTTCAGTGGCCTGCTGGCTGCCAACAGCATCATGATCAAACAAATAATGTAAGCGAAGTCACTAGTCATCCATCAGTTTATTCTGTACACAAAAATATCCTCTGCCTGCAAACACTTAAGGCTGCATTATTGTTATGTATTCCTTCCAATGTTATACGCATTCTTAAGTAAATCTTACAGGTTTAGGGAAGAGCAACACTATACAGAAAAAAAAACCCAAACCAAACCAGAACCAAAACCCTGCTAAATCTAAACAACTGCTTTCCACAACTAAGTTCAGTTAATGTTGTTACTCTTACCATTACAAATAGGAAGCACTCTAAAGCTGAACATACAATAAATTTAACTCTTCAAAATGAGTCTTTGTAGAGGACTGTAGCAAACTTTAATAGTGATATGAATGAGAATGCCAAACCTGAGGAAGGGTTGCAAGAATGGCGTGTGCTGACTGGCATCTAGATTAGCAGATCAAGATCCCAGCACACCTCTGCAGCTTCTCAGGACACTCATATCAGCATAATAAAGGCCAACCTACCTTCAGATTAAAACAAAGACTTTGGACTCTTTAAGACCAGGGTAGGAGCCATCAGACACCAGAAGAGAAGACAAGGACACTGAGTAAATCCTGATGACTCGCACAAAGTTGGGGCAAAAGAATACTATAACCTAAAGTATACACAAAACACATCCAAAACCAGCATATTTGCCAACATGAAAGAGCAACCCAGGAGATCTGCAGAAGATAGCTTGTCCTCTGTACAGTCAGAAGAAATCCTGACTAAACTACCTCTTTGTGATTGAGTACTAGATAGGCTACCTGGATACCATGCACCTTGTGAGTATGCAACTGAAACTTTCTCTTTTAAATAAAATCACCTTCCCCTCCTATTGGATCTTGCACAGAGCCTTGCTATACTGTTGCAACACTACTTCCTACTTCTATTAATTGTGCCACTCTTCCTTACCAAATTTTTGTGTAGTAAATGTAAAATCAGGACCACTCCTGCCTCCTTCATCTGTGTATGCCATCATCCGCACAGTATACAGCGTGTCACTGGTTAGAGAAGAAAGGGTATACTCTGTCTTGGAAGGATCCACTGTCACGGCTAAAGAGAGGAAAAAATTTATACTAGTTTTCTGTACAATTTATTAGATCTCCACAAACACAGTAGCTTTAGGACATCATGTCTTCAGATGTACAAGACAGTTTTAGCAGAATGCATGGCTATATAGAAAATACAACAGACACAGAAAGACTACAAACTTGTACAAGAAATGCTGAGATTTGTTTGTTTCTGTTCAAGTGTTTGAATTTAGTCTCTTTCTTGATGATATTTTATGTGTTAATTTCCTGTGGGTTTTTTTTCCCCCAGAATGTAGCTACAAACTAAACTAGTAGTAAAGTTGAGGCTTAAAGGTTTCTAATAAGCAGAACACATGGCTAACTAGAAATAGCTAGTTACTAACTAGAAAAAACATGGTTAACTAGAAATAACAAGGGTAGGCATAAGTAATTGGCCCTTCCAATTTAAGGAAACCTAAAAAAAGAAAAACTTCTGATAGTGCTAGCTCCCTGTCTTATGCCTGCAGGCTATATACACTACTGAGAACTAAAATGCACTTCAAACAAGATGTTTTACATTAGTAATACATTGATCTAGAGCTCCAGGAGGATTAAAAAATCTCGCCTCCTTTTTTAAGGCTTTATCATAGTTAAATGCAGTCAACTCCAGCTTCATCTTGCTATACCACCATCTCATCCTGTATTTACCTAGAAAGATGGGAGTACAATATCTGCAAATCAGCTTTCAGAAACTAAACTCAGTACCCTGTTATACACAGACTGAATGTTCCGAATTCTTTATTAGGGACTTTTCTGGTCAGTATGGAGGAGAGCTATGCCTCAGACATCAGCTTTATGTCATCAGAACAAACTGTCAGCCACACTTGATTCTGTATCTTGTTTTTCGGGAACACGTATTAGGAAGGAGACAGATGGAATACTTCAATGCCACAAAGTACTTCTCTGCTTTCTGTTACCTGTTTCATTTCCATCGATAGTTTTGTAAAATATGGTGTAACTTCTGATAAATCCATTTTGTTCATCTACTGTGAGACGGTTCCATGTCAGAACAGCTTCAGCTTTTCCTACTTTTTTTGTCTGAACAGTTGGTCCTTTTGAAGGACCTGTAACGGGAGATGAAGATTAGTTTCTGTTGGGCACCCTCACATCCACAGAAGCAGCGTATTAACGAGCACTGAATTGCTACTGCATAAAAACTTCAATGGAATAGCTGGACTAACTCATCTGCAAAGCATTATTTTCAGACAACACAGGAACTCCAAAGGTGTCTTAAAAGAGAAATCTCCAGGGAAAAAAGATATGAAAAACAGTAATCAGCAGATCACATGAAATCTTCAACTGAAGTTAATTAGTCTTGGCTTCATACTTGAAATTCAAAATAAATCAGCATAGAAATATTACTATACCAATAAAATAACAAACTCATGCCAAGTTATCTGATAAAGGTTGGAAAAAGGGAAAAAAAAAA